CCCCTGTCCGGCCCCGCCCCGCCCGGCAGGGTGCTGCGAAGCTGCTCTCGCCTCATTCTTCGGTTCCTTCGCTCCTTGATTCATTCAAGCATCCTGCGTTCCTTTCCTTCCTGCCACGCAGACTTTTGTTGCGCACCTACTCTGTGCTAGCCTTTAAGCCAAGCACTGCGAGGACTGCAAAGATAATCTCGTTGCTTGTCTCGGATCCTCTGTCCAGTCCCCACAACCAGAGTTAGACTCTGCCATTATTCTTGGTTCTTAACCTAGGTCTCCCGTCCCTGCCATTGTGCTTTGGTAATTTGATTTTCCACAGCCTTACTCTATCTTGCTTTTCCTCCAGCTGTCATCACCTCTGCTTGTCCTGGGCTCTCACCTCTCCCTTGTTCCCATCCAGTCAGGTGCCAACCTCTCTTCCAACTCGGTCTGGTCTCTCTACCTCTTTCTCTCCCCCTCACTCTGTGTCTCACTCTGTATCATCCTTCATTCCTTCCCCTTCTTCCCTCTCTCACACACCAAGACCTACGATTTTTACCTCATTGTCTCAGCCACCTCTCCCTCTCTCCGTTCTACCTCTTCCCTACTCAGTTTCACATCATTTCAAACTGAGATAATGAACCCCGCCGGCTCACCAGTTCTGAAGTTTCCAGCCTTGCCCGTGTCTAGGCCATCCTATGTCCAGCCACAGCAGTCATCAACACGTACCTTGCCCAAACCTGGGGGTTCAATCCAGGGCAACTGGCAAACAGAGTATTCAAAAAAGAAATTCTCAGTATACTGGAGTGCCCTGTCCCTGTTTCATGCTTAGAGGAATGGAAGGTACCTCCTTTGAAGGAGTAAAGCTTTGAGGGTAGAGGAGCTGATGTTGTCATATACTTGAAAAACTGACCAGTGGAAAAGGGATCCAATATGTTTTCTAGGTCCCAAGGTCTGAACAAAACCCATTGCGTGGAACTATTATTTCGGTCTAACCTAAGTAGAAGTGCATAATGTTGACCTGTGTAACAGTGCAGCTTCATGTAGGTCTGCCCGCAGCGTGGCTAACCACTTACCAGGAAGAGTCAGTGGAACACCAGCACTGGGTGTTACGACACCAAGGTCCTTTGCTTCTAAGAAAGTCAAGAAATATGCTGGTTGGGAGGAGAAGGTGATAGATTTTATCTTCAACATGTTAGCTTTTAGCTGATCAACATCAAGGAAAATAACAGTACCTCAAACCTTTAATTGGACCACAGATCCCTTTGTGAATCTGACAGAAGCTGTAAAACTTTTCCCAAAGCAGATACAGACACATCTACATACGGCATTTTGTGCTCAAATTCAGGGAGCTAACAGAGCCCTGAAGACCATCTGGGAATCCTCGAACCTCAGCTTGAGAACTCCAGAATGGTTTATGGTTCCTAATACGGAAGTGACACTTGGAAGTTCAATCATTTAATTATACTAGCATTGTGGGACAAAGCAATAAACCCCTCTTCACTCTGAACAAAATGAACCAAAAGGAATTTTTAAAATATAGAGACATCTACCTCAACTATTTCTGTTTATTTATTATTCATTTATCCAATATTTATCAGATGCCCAGGAGTAGTCCAATAGCTAGATATATAACAGTGAACGAAATAGACAAGCCCCATCCCTCATAGGACTTATATTTTTAGAGGAGAGCTGAAAAATAAATACACAAGTAACAATAAGTATGGTACAGAATAATAACTGTTGCAGAGGAAATTAAAGCAAAGTAAGGAAGATAGGTAGTGTAAGAGGTGGAGTACAAGTTATAGAGGGTAACATAAAACAGCCTTGAGGGCCAGCCCATGGCACCGGTGGTTAAGGCAGCCAGATTCCACAGAGCCAACTGCATAGTTGAAATTCTGCCCACAGTGGCTTGAAAAACACACCAGGGGCATGTGCATGCACCCTCAAAATCCCAAAAGGAGGGAGAGATGGAGAAGGGATTGCAGCATAACCATTCCCCGGTAGGGGATGCTTTCTCAATTTCTCTCTCTCTCTCTCTCTCTCTCTCTCTCACTCTCTCTCTCTCTCTTTCTCCATGTGTGTGTGTGGCAAGCCCACGAGTCCTTTGGCAAAAAAACTAAAAAAGTGTAAAAAAGAAAAAAAACCTTGAACACAGACGTAAAGTTAAGTAGCTAACCTTGTGTATAGAGAGCTTTCCAGGCAGTGGAAAAATAGTTAAGTCCTGAGACAATGAGTAAAGATAAGGAGACAAGGCATGAGGCCTATTCCCTAGTCTACATCCAGGGGGATCAGGGAAATTAGGAGGATCTACCAAGGGAGAAAGACACTGAGGAGCCTTGGAGGAAGAAGGAAAACCTGACAGAGTGGTATCCTGGAGGTCATGTGTGTAAAACATTCAAAGGAGTAGGGCCAGAAAGTGGTGCGGTGATTAAGGCACTGAATTCTCACATGACCTAACACAGTTCGATTCCTGGGCCCGGAGGCTTGAAAATCACGCCAGGCACATGTGTACATCTCCAAAATCCTGAGAGGAGAATGGAGGAGAAGGGATTGTGGCACAGCCACAGCCAGGGGTGGGGAGATTTCTCCCTTGCCTTCTCTCTGTCTCTCTCCAGTGAGTGCACATGTCCTGTGGCAAAAACCTAAAAAAGGGAAGGGAGTAATCAAGTGGACCAAATGCTAGTGGTCAGGGCTGGCTCTGAAGTGCAGTGGTAACACACTGCTCAAGCAAAGCTGAATCCATGCGAGAAATGGCAGTTCACTCAGTGCCCTGGCCAACCTGTACAAACTGGTCATGACGCTGGCTAGTTAGGAAGGCTGGCAGGTGGGAGGGCTAGATGCCCAGCTACATAGTGAGACCATGTTGAGGGTACTTGTCTTTCTCTGTCTCTCATTCTCATGAAAGATCTAAATAAGCTTTTAAAAAATGCTAGTGATCAAATTTAAGATGAGGATTAAAACTTGATGATTGAAGGGTCAGCAGATGGCATGGTGGTTAGGGGTGCTGGGCTCCCATATGATTGACCACGGTTCAAGTCCCAGACCTAGCAGCTAGCTTTCTTGGTTTCTCTCTCTGTGTTTTGCTCTGGTCAAAATGAGGGAGATAATTATGGTGTAATGGTTACGTTACTGGACTCCCACACCAAGTCCTGGACCTGGCAGATTAAAATTCACACCGGGCATGTGTGCATGCCTGCCCAAGATCCAAAGAGGAGAATGGAGAAGGGATTGCGGCATGCCCATCCCCCTGGAGGGAGTGATTTCATGCTGTCTTTCTTTCTCTGTCTCTCTGGCGAGTACATAAAAATCTCTCTCAAAAAAAAAAATAAATAAAAGTAAAGAACCATAATGATAAATAAAAGAAAAGAAATAATTCTTTAAAAAAGAATTGATGACTGGTTTCATTGGGTTGTGATGATTTCTCCAACAATCAATAATTCCCCCAATAGCAACAGGGGGAATTATTGATGACCTTGACAAGAGTGTTTGGAAGTGAAGAAAAACTGAATGGAACAAATTCAATAGAGGACGAGAAGAGAATTAGAGCAGCAAATATAGACAATCATTCAAGAAGTTGTGCTATAAAGGGAAACAGCAAAATTAGACAAAGCAAGAGCTGTTACAGCATGTTTATATGCTAATTTTAATGACCCAGTAGGGAGGAAAATC